GGGATACCAAGGTGCTTGTCTATAAAGCTATTGCCCTCCCAAACCTGCTATAGGCCTGTGAGACATGGACAGTCTACAGACGTCACATGCAACTCCTGGAACAATTCCATCAGCGCCGCCTCCAAAAAATCCTGCAAATCTCTTGGGAAGACAAGCGGACAAATGTCAGCATGCTGGAAGAAGCAAAGACCACCAGCATTGAAGCGATGGTCCTCCGTCAACTCCACTGGACTGGCCATGTTGTCCGGATGCCCGACCACCGTCTCCCAAAGCAGTTGCTCTACTCCAACCTCAAGAATGGAAAACAGAATGTTGGTGGACAGGAAAAGAGAATTAAAGATGGCCCCAAAGCCAACCTTTAAAAACTCTGGCATAGACACCGAGAACTGGGAAGCCCTGGGCCTTGAACGCGCCAGCTGGAGGTCAGCTGTGACCAGCAGTGCTGCAGAATTTGAAGATGCACTAATGGAGGGTGAAAGAGAGAAACGTGCCAAGAGGAAGGCGCGTCAAGCCAACCCCGACCGGGACCGCCTTCCACCTGGAAACCAATGCCTTCACTGTGGGAGAAGATGCGGGTCAAGAATAGGGCTCCACAGCCACCTACAAACCCACAAAAATAGTCATCAAGGAAGACCATCTTACCCGTCCAACGAGGGATTGCCTAAGTAAGTAAGTAAGTTTCAAATAATAAAAACAACAACTTTGGGGGACTAAGCAGAGTCACACAAAAGGCTGCGTTCCCATTACAACTGCTATGTGGCAATCCTGTCCGCTCCATCGCCTCAGGGCTTGATTGCTCAGATGCCCTCTCACCGCTCTTGTGAATCTCCATTGTGGTGTGTGGAGGCTGATTCTTTCAGCGGCTTATTGACATCTACCATTGCTGCCGGATTCTCTATAACAGTGTTTCTCAACCTGGGGGTGGGGACCCCCATGGGGGTCGCGGGGGGGTGTCAGAGGGGTCGCCAAAGACCATCAGAAAACATAGTATTTTCTGTTGGTCATGGGTTCTGTGTGGAAAGTTTGGTCCAATTCTATCGGTGGGGTTCAGAATGCTATTTTATTGTGGGTGAACTATAAATCCCAACAATTACAACTCCCAAATGGCAAGGTCTATTTTCTCCAAACTCTACCAGTGTTCACATTTGGGCATATTGAATATTTGTGACAAGTTCAGTCCAGAGCTATCATTGTTGAAGCCCACAGTGCTTTCTAGATGTAGGTGAACTATAACTCCAAAACTCAAGGTCAGTGCCCACCAAACTCTCCCAGTATTTTCTGTTGGTCATGGGAGTTTTTTGTGCCAAGTTTGGTTCAATTCCATTGTTTCAGAAGGCTCTTTGAATTTAGGTGAACTATAAATCCCAGCAACTCCAGCATTACCAAATGACAAAATCAATCACCCCCAACCTCACCAGTATTCAAATTTGGGAGTATTGGGTATTTGTGCCAAATTTGGTCCAGTGACTGAAAATACATCCTGCATATCAGATATTTAGATTACCATTCATAACAATAGCAAAATTACAGTTGTGAAGTAGCAACGAAAATAATATTATGGTTGGGGGTCACCACAACATGAGGACCTGTACTAAGGGGCCGCGGCATTAGGAAGGTTGAGAACCACTGCTCTAATGAAACTGTACACCTACCTCTTGGCCGTACCATCGCCGCTGGCTGCATTTGGAACTGTCCATCATTGCGGCTCCCTCAACACCCACCATCTTTGATGACAACTTAGGAAGACTGGTCTATGGGCCTGGGCTACTTTGGGAGTGGGAGGGTGCCTTCACCTTGCACTTATTTTTATATACTACCAATCTAATACTTGTTCATATAACTTGTAAGCCGCTCCGAGTCCCCTTCGGAGTGAGAAGGGCGGCATATAAATGTTGTAAATAAATAAATGGGAGTTTATTATTATTTTAATACAAGCTGTCACCTGCCATGCGTTGCTGTGGCCCGGTCTGTGTATATGTTTTGTGTGTGTATATTTATTTTATTTATTTATTATTTCATCTACTTATACCCCGCCCTTCTCACCCCGGGGGGGACTCAGGGCGGCTTACAAAGGAGGCACAATTAGATGCCCAAATCACACAACAAACAATACAAAATATAACAGTTCAACAATTAAAATGAAACATCAATACCTATTAAAATCATAAAAACTATCTCATGTCAGAGTCCATATATCAGAGTCCATATATCCATTCCATTCCATTGTCCTTGTCTATCGATAGGTCCTTTGATCAGTTGTCAGCATGGCCAAAAGCTTGGTCCCACATCCAGGTCTTTAGTTTTTTCCTAAACGCTAGAAGGGAAGTCGTCGATCTGATCTCCCCGGGGAGTGAGTTCCACAGGTGGGGGGCCACCACTGAGAAGGCCCTGCTCCTCGTCCCCGCCAGTTTCACTTGTGCCACTGGCGGGGTCGAGAGCAGGGCCTCCCCAGAAGATCTTAAACTTCGAGGTGGGATGTAGAGGGAGATCCGTTCGGACAGATACACTGGGCCGGAACCGTATAGGGTTTTGTAGGTCAAAACCAGCACTTTGAATTGTGCTCGGAATTGGAATCGGCAGCCAGTGGAGCTGACGCAACAGGGGGGTGGTGTGCTCCCTGTACGCCGCTCCGGTGAGCAATCTGGCTGCTTCTCGCTGGACTAGTTGAAGTTTCCGAGCAGTCTTCAAAGGCAACCCCACGTAGAGTGCGTTGCAGTAATCCAACGGGATGTGACAAGAGCGTGGACCACCGTGGCCAGATCAGACTTCCCAAGGTACGGGCGCAGCTGGCGCACAAGTTTTAATTGTGCGAAAGCTCTCCCGGCCACCGCTGAGACCTGGGGTTCCAGGCTCAGCGATGAGTCCAGGATCACTCCCAAGCTACGAACCTGCGTCTTCAGGGGGAGTGTAACCCCATCTAACACAGGCTGTAACCCTATACCCTGTTCGGCCTTGCGACTGACCAGTAGGACCTCTGTCTTGTCTGGATTCAATTTCAATTTGTTAGCTCTCATCCAGTCCGATACAGCGGCTAAACACCGGTTCAAGGTCTGGACAGCCTCCTTGGTGACAGGTGAGAAGGAGTGACAGATTTGGACGTCATCTGCATAGAGATAGCATCTTAGTCCGAAACTCCGAATGATCTCTCCCAGCGGCTTCATGTAGATGTTAAATAACATCGGGGACAAGATAGAACCCTGTGGGACTCCACACAACAACGGTTGTGGGGCCGAACAGATGTTGCATATGTGTGTGTTTGCATATAAATATATGGTTTTGCGCATGCATTGTAATGTATTGTAATGTATTTTTGTTTTTTGGTTTCTAAAGTCTCTTCTGCTGTGTTTTTCAGTGTTTTTATGAGTGATAAGTCACTCGATGGCCTGATACCCGTCTTGTGTCCAAATTTGGTGTCACTTTGTCTGGTGGTTTTTGAGTTATGTTAATCCCACAAATGAACATTACATTTTTATTTATATAGATGTGTATCAAATTATCTTCATGATTTTACTGACACAAAAGCACAGTATGTCACAGCAAGCGAGATCTATATGCTGGGTTTCGTATCACAAAATCACAAGTCGAACACTTCCCAAGCGTCTAGGACTGTGTGATGTATTTTCGAATGATGCGCGCAGATCCAAGTAAGGTGGCCCTTTGCAGTTGACAGATCGTGATTTTGACGATGTTTATTGTTTCCAAATGCCGGCTGACATCTTTTGGCACGGCATCCAGTGCGCCAGTGACCACTGGGACCACCTGGACTGGCTGATGCCGCCAGAGCCTTTGGAGTTCCATGTTGAGGTCCTGATAGCGGCTGAGTTTTTCCTGTTGTTTTTCTTCAATGCGGTTGTTACCTGGTATGGCGACATCAACAATCCAGACTTTTTTCTTTTCCACAACATAATAATAATAATAATAATTAATGATAATGTTGTTGTTGTTAATATAATAATAATGAGATGCCAACACCTTGCCCTCAGCCTCACCAGCACTTTCTCGGCCTTGAGAGGCTCCCCGGCCAGGGCAGAGAAGACTCAGCCAGTGGCACACGCAAGGGAGCAGTAGAGAAAGTCCCCCAAAGTTATTATTATGTTAATATGTGTATCAAATAATAATAATTACTTTGGGGGACTGTCCATTCTTTCTCTCTCGCTCCCTTGCATGTGCCACTGGGTGTCTTTTCTCTGCCCTGGCCTGGGAGTCTTCCAGGGCCGAGAAAGTGCTGGCGAGGATGACGGCAATGTGCTGGTATCTCCTTCCTTCCTTCCTTCCTTCCTTCCTTCCGGATTCTCCCCTATGAACCATCAAGGTAGTTAAGATCTTCTGGAGGGGCCCTGCTCTCGGTCCCACCACCTTCGCAGTCGCGTCTGGTGGGGACAAGGGACAGGGCCTTCTCGGTGGTGGCCCCTCGGCTTTGGAACTCTCTCCCGATGGAGATCAGATCTACCCCTTCCCTCCTGACTTTCAGAAAGCTGGTAAAAACTTGGCACTTCTCAGAATGATGATCGAGTCAATAACTGTTGACCACACGGGCGGATGATGATGAATTTGTGATTACCTTGACGACTTGGCTTTATGTAACTATTTGATCTATATTTTAATGTATTGTAATGTATTAATGTACTATAATGTTATTATGTTTTAGCTTATTTGTATATGAATTTCCTGTTGTTAGCCAGCCTGAGTCCCTCTTCGGAGGTCGAGAAGACCGGGTTATAAAAGCTCTAAATAAATAAATAATAATAAATAAATATTCCTCCCTCCCTTCTTCTCCCTATCCTTTTCTCTCACTCTTCTCCAACAGCAGTATACCCCACTGATGCATGCGCAGTTGCAACTTTCCCCACATCTCTCGTGCACTTTTTTTAGGTCTTGCAGCCCACACTAAAGCCCAGAGCGGAGTCGCTATTGCATTGGAGACTAGGTGAAAAGGCCCCTTCTCTCCAGGAGGATCTGCTGACGAGTGATTCCCAAGAGGCAGGAGACAAAGACACAAGCGAGATCAACAATGCCTTTAATGAAACACAACTGAACCAAAACCCACGATGACGTGAGGGAGTTAAACAAAGAAAGTAGTCTCGACTTAACAAACCAGGGACGCAACTCCAGTCCTTGAAAACCTACGAAGGCGTTGCCCTGAAAATGAGAGACAAAGCATGGCTTGATTTTTGAAAAAGGAGTATCGGGGGACAACACAAAATAATTCCCGGTCGTACCCAACGGGATCGAAGCCAGAGTTGTCCATATCCTTAAAGTCAGTGTTTCGAAAATTGCATGGCATCTTGAAAATGTTGCTAAACTACAACTCCCAGGCCACCAACTATTAAACCCCTTAGGCTGGATGCTACTGGTTGACTCCGTCAATCAGTCGACAACCCGCGTCAACACTTCTACTTCGGCGGGTGGACCCGCATTGGGAGGAACGGCTCCCTGCGTCGCTTCTCCGTTGAGCGAGTGATCCTTTCGGGGCCCGACCCACGACGGGGCCGCTTTCTCCACCACGGGGCCCCTACGGCTTTCATGGAACTTCAGGTGCTTCTGGAGGATCCAGCTGTAGCTGAAGCAGCGCCCGCACTCCTCGCAGCGGAAGGGCTTGTCCCGGACGTGGATCCTCTGGTGCGTTTGGAGGTTTCCCTTGTGGCGGAAGTGCCGCCCGCACTCAGGACACTCGAAGGGCTTCTCCTCGGAGTGGATCTTCTGGTGCAGCTTCAGCTTCGAGGCCAGGTTGAAGGTCTTGCCACAGTCCAAACACCGATGCACGTTCTCCTCCGTGGGAGCGGCTCTCTCTCCTTTGTCGAAGGAGATCGGTCGGGGGAAGCTCTTCTCAAACTCGGGGGGCTTCAGCTGGCTTCTCTCGTTTCCTCCAAGTGGCGGGACAGGGGTCAAGTAAGTGCCTTCAGGGGAAATGTAGGCCGCATCGTGGTCCCAATCTTGGTCGTCATCCATGGTTTCCTTCTTACTCTTCTCCTTGGAATCACCTGAAAGAATGAAGTTTTAGAAGAGGAGATCACCAAAGGGGGAAAACAAATCCAAATTACACTGTTCCCTCACTACTTCGCGGTTTGCTTTTAGCGGACTCGCTCTTTTGCGGGTTTTTGAAAATATAATAATATAACGTTCGTTTGTGGGATTAACAGAACTCAAAAACCACTGGATGAATTGACACCAAACTTGGACACAAGACACCTATCAGGCCAATGAGTGTCCATCACCCCTAACAGCCTACCTGCACCCCTGGCAAAAAAAAGTGTACTGCAACCGCTTACTTTGCGTAATGGATGAACCGCCCCTGCCTAAAAAACACACAAAAAAAACCCCAGCAGAACGGACTTAACCCCCCCCCCAAAACTATATATACATATACACATACACTCATATACATATAAACATGCACACATACAGACACACACACACACACACACATATGTATACAAGCACACACAAATATACACATACATATAGACATGCACACATACACATATATTTACACAGAACGGACTTAAAACCCCCCAAAATAAACTATATATACATATACACATACACTCATATACATATAAACATGCACACATACATAAAGACACACACAGACACACACACATATGTACACAAGCACACACAAATATACACACACATATAGACATGCACACATACATGCACATATATTTACATATACACATGCATACATACACAATATACATATAGACATACATACACATATATACACAAGCACATACATATACACAATATACATATACACATATAAACACAGAAATACACAAGTATATACACACGTATACACACACATATGCACACACACATATACAACCATCTATCTAGAAATATATTTGTGTATATGTGTGTTTGCATATTTAGATAGATATAGATATATACACATACACACAAAACATATATACAGACTGGGCCACAGCAACACATGGCAGGGAACGGCTAGTTTATAGAAATAATAATATAATGTTCGTTTGTGGGATTAACATAACTCTAAAACCACTGGATGAATTGACACCAAATTTGGACACAAGACACCTAACAACCCGATGTATGTCCTTCACTCAAAAAATTGATTTTGTCATTTGGGAGTTGTAGTTGCTGGGATTTATAGTTCACCTACAATCAAAGAGCATTCTGAACCCCACCAACAATGGAATTGAACCAAACTTGGCACACAGTTTTCCCATGACCAACAGAAAATACTGGAAGGGTGGGCCTTTGGTTTTGGAGTTGTAGTTCACCTACATCCAGAGATCACTGTGGACTCAAACAATGATGGATCTGGACCAAACTCTACACGAATACTTAATATGCCCAATGTGGACACTGGTGGAGTTTGGGGAAAATAGAATCTTGACATTTGGGAGTTGTAGTTGCTGGGATTTATAGTTCACCTACAATTAAAGAGCATTCTGAACCCCACCAACAATGGAATTGAACCAAACGTGACACACAGTTCTACCATGACCAACAGAAAATACTGGAAGGGTGTCCTTTGGTTTTGGAGTTGTAGTTCACCTACATCCAGAGAGCACTGTGGACTCAAACTAGGATGGATCTGGACCAAACTCTACATGAATACTCAATATGCCCAAATGTGGACACTGGTGGAGTTTGGGGAAAATAGAATCTTGACATTTGGGAGTTGTAGTTGCTGGGATTTATAGTTCACCTACAAATTTCAGATTTCAAATTTTTGATATTTACGAAATTTCGTAAATATACGAATTGATTCGTTAATGGTGGACGCGATTGCGCAATACATGAAAAAACCTCCAAACGGGACAGGGGGAACTTCTGAAGCTTCCCTCTCCCTCTGTTGTTGACTGTTGGTGTGATAAAACAAACAAAAACTATATATATTGTATTATATTATATTATAATTATAATATTATATTATTGTATATTATTATAATTGTATATTATTATAATGTATTATATTATATATATTATATTATTATATTGTTATTATTACAACAAAAATAGCTAGAAGCACTTAATTCAGTGTATCTATCTCCCGGTGGCGCAGTGGGTTAAAGCACTGAGCTGCTGAACTTGTTGATTGAAAGGTCGCAGGTTCGGCGTGAGCTTCCGCTGTCAGCCCTAGCTTCTGCCAACCTAGCAGTTTGAAAACATGCAAATGTGAGTAGATCAATAGGTACCGCTCCGGCGGGAAGGTAACGGTGCTCCATGCAGTCATGCCGGCCACATGACCTTGGAGGTGTCTACGGACAACGCTGGCTCTTCGGCTTAGAAATGGAGATGAGCACCACACCCCAGAGTCAGACATGACTGGACTTAATGTCAGGGGACTACCTTTACCTTATCAACATCTTAAAGTCTGTAGCAAATTGCTGTGCAAAAAAACGTAATTTAGCAAATAATCTGGATTATCCTGGGAAATAATCTGGGATAACAGAACGTTCAAGCAAACTGCTTCAAAATCACAGGGTTAGAAAACACAAGTAAACAAGGTGGAAGCAAGGAAAAGCATTCTCAAAAAACTGTCCCAAGTCAGAATGAGATGTCCATCCAAAAACAATCCGAAGTCAGAATGGAGTCAGCACTTACAGGAATCCAGTCTTTAAAACGCTTTAAAACGGCTTGTCTTAACCCAGCTAAACGTCTTCCTGGCCCAGCAGCTTAAAACTATTATTATATTATATTATATTATTATTATTATTATTATTATATATTATAATATAAAGAATGGATGGCCATCTGTCAGGGGTGCTTTAATATACAATTATATTAATATAATAATATACAATTATAACATTTAATATAATAATTATATTATATTATATTATACAATAATTATAATATAATATAATATACAATTATAACATAACATAATAATATATAATATAATATAATATAATATAATATAATATAATATATAATATATATTATATATTATATTATTATTATATTATATTATTGTATATTATATTATATTATTGTATATTATATTATACAAAGCTGGGGTGAAAATTGCTGGAAGAAACATTAACAACCTCAGATATGCAGATGACACCACTCTGATGGCCGAAAGCGAGGAGGAGCTGAGGAGCCTTCTAATCAAGGTGAAAGAAGAAAGCGCAAAAGCCAGGTTGCAGCTAAACATCAGAAAAAACCAAGATTATGGCAACAAGAATGATTGACGACTGGGAAATAGAGGGAGAAAATGTGGAGGCCGTGACAGACTTTGTATTTCTAGGTGCAAAGATGACTGCAGATGCAGACTGTGGCCAGGAAATCAGAAGACGCTTCCTTCTTGGGAGGAGAGCAATGTCCAGTCTCGATAAAATAGTGAAGAGTAGAGACATCAGACTGGCAACCAAGATCCATTGCCTAGTCAAAGCCATGGTCTTCCCTGTAGTCACCTACGGATGTGAGAGATGGACCTTCGGGAAGGCTGAGCGAAGGAAGAGAGATGCTTTTGAGCTGTGGTGTTGGAGGAAAGTTCTGAGAGTGCCTTGGACTGCGAGAAGATCCAACCAGTCCATCCTCCAGGAAAGAAAGCCTGGCTGCTCATTGGAGGGAAGGAGACTAGAGACAAAGTTGAAGTCCTTTGGCCACATCATGAGGAGACAGCAAAGCCTAGAGAAGACAATTATGCTGGGGAAAGTGGAAGGAAAAAGGAAGAGGGGCTGACCAAGGGCAAGATGGATGGATGGCATCCTTGAAGTGACTGGACTGACCTTGAAGGAGCTGGGGGTGGTGACGGCCGACAGGGAGCTCTGGCGTGGGCTGGTCCATGAGGTCACGAAGAGTCGGAGACGACTGAACGAATGAACAACAACATATTATATTATAATATATTATATATATTATTATATATTATATTACATTACATTACTTTATATATTATACATTATACTAGCTGTACCCGGCAACGCATTGCTGTGGCATAGAGTGATGGTATGAAAAATAAAGTAATGAGAAATTTTGGGCAAGAAGGATGCCAGGAGAAAGAGGAGGGAGGGGGAAATGTGGGATTTGCCAGCAGGCAGGAAGGAAGGAAGGAAGGAAGGAAGGAAGGAAGGAAGGAAGGAAGGAAGGAAGGAAGGAAGGAAGGAAGGAAGGAAGCCCAGAGCAGCCCAGCTGAAGAGAGGAAGGCTGAGAGGAGATATGATAGCCATGTATAAATATGTGAGAGGAAGCCACAGGGAGGAGGGAGCAAGCTTGTTTTCTGCTTCCCTGGAGACTAGGACGCAAGGAACAATGGCTTCAAACTACAAGAGAGGAGATTCCATCTGAACATGAGGAAGAACTTCCTGACTGTGAGAGCCGTTCAGCAGTGGAACTCTCTGCCCCGGAGTGTGGTGGAGGCTCCTTCTTTGGAAGCTTTTAAACAGAGGCTGGATGGCCATCTGTCAGGGGTGATTTGAATGCAATTTTCCTGCTTCTTGGCAGGGGGTTGGACTGGATGGCCCATGAGGTCTCTTCCAACTCTTTGATTCTATGATTCTATGAAAGTGGAAGGAAGCAGCAGAGCAAAGGTGGCCAGCAGGAGGGAAGAGAGAGAGAGGAAATTCATTGGCTTAAGCTGAGGCCAGGGACCGGAAGTGGGGTAAATGCGCAGCTTGCAACCAGGGGAGGGAAGAGAAACTGCGAGATTGTAAAACTTGTAAAAAAAAAAAATAACGTTCGTAATTATTTTTCGAAAATAATTACGAAAAATGGGGAAATTGTTTCGATTCTTAATTACTCCTCACACTATTCCTGCATGGCTCAATATTGGATCGAAGCTAATTTAAATACGAAATCATTACGACTTTAGAAACCAAGCCTAATACACACATATAGATATAGACATGCATACACATATATACACAAGCACACACATATACGCAATATACATATACACATATAAACACAGAATTACACAAATATATACACACATATATACACACATATGCACATATACACCCATCTATCTATATATGTATGTGTGTGTGTATATATATGTGTGTTTGCATATTTAGAGAGATACACATACACACACACACACAAAACATATATACAGACTGGGCCACAGCAGCACATGGCAGGGGATGGCTAGTCTATGGAAATAATAATATAATGTTCGTTTGTGGATTAACATAACTCAAAAACCACTGGACGAATGGACACCAAATTTGGCTACAAGATACCTACTAACCCAAGAAGTGACCATCACTTAAAAAATGATTTTGTCATTTGGGAGTTGTAGTTCCTGGGATTTATAGTTCACCTCCAATCAAAGAGCATTCTGAACTCCGCCAATGATGGAATTGAAAAAAACATGGCACACAAGACTCCCATGACCAACAGAAAACATTAGAAGGGTTTGGTAGGCATTGAACTACAACTCTTCAATTTGAGAGTTGTAGTTCACCTACATCCAGAGAGTACTGTGGACTCAAACTAGGATGGATCTGGACCAAACTTGGCACAAATATTCCATATGCCCAAATATGAACACAGATGGAGCTTGGGGGAAATAGGCCTTGACATTTGGGGGTTGTAGTTACTGGGATTTATAGTTCACCTACAATCAAAGAGCATTCTGAACCCCACCAACGGCAGAACTGGGACAAACTTCCCGCACGAATATTCCATATGCCTAAATAGGAAGACAGGTGGAGTTTGGGGGAAATAGACCTTGACATGTGGGAGTTGTAGTTGCTGGGATGTACAGTTCACCTCCAATCAAACAGCATTCTGAATTCTGCCAATGATGGAACTGAACCAAACTTGGCATACAGAACTCCCATGACCAAGAGAAAATACTGGAACGGTCTGGGGGGCATTGAGTTTGGGAGTTGTAGTTCACCTACATCCAGAGAGCAGTATGGACTCAAACAACGTTGGTTCTGGACTAAACTTGGCATGAATTCTCCATATGCCCAAATGTGAACACTGGTGGAGTTTGGGGAAGATAGACCTTGACATTTGGGAGTTGTAGTTCCTGGGATTTATAGTTCACCTAAAATCAAACCCCACCAATGACAGAGTTGGGCCAAACCTCCCACAAAGAACTCCCATGCTTTGAAGGGACTCGCTGGGGCAAAGCTCCCTCCAGCCTTGCACACTCTCCCTTGTCCACACATGCGCACCATGCTGACATGTGCTGAACACACCTGCTCTCCCCTCCTCACTTGGAGTTTCAGGAACAGCCCTCTCGTTGGCTGAGAGGCCAGCCAATCACAGCTTTTGGTGGGAGGATTCACCATCTGATTCCAAAAAGGAAGAGAAGGACAGGCAGAGAGATCTTCAGCCTTCTCTGTCAAAGGGCTTCCTAAGACCATCATAGAATCCTTGAGTTGGAAGAGACCTCATGGTCCATCCAGTCCAACCCCATTCTGCCAAAAAGCAGGAAAATAGGGTTCAAAGCACCCCAACCAGATGGCCATCCAGCCCCTGTTTACGTTTTCCGATGGTCTTTGGAGATCCCTCTGAAACCCCCTCGCAACTTCCAGGTTGAGAAATGCTCATCTGGAGAGACATGGTGGCCATGTTTACATATTGGGAAGGAGGTTCCATTGAGGAGAAATGGGGCAAGCTTGCTTTTCTGTGGCTCCTATGGTGCTCATATGACATATCAACATGAGGAAGAACCTCCTGATGATCAGGGTTCCTCCATAGTGGGATAGGGTGCCTGGGACCCCAGTGGGGTCCCCTTTCTTCTTTCATTCTCTGGAAATTTGTAAGCAGAGGTTGGATGACTATCAGTCAGGAGGTCTTGGATGATGTCCTCCTGCCCTTGGGGTCTCTTCTAAGTCTAGGATTCTCTCATTCTAAGTAGGTCTTGGTTGTGTCCTCCTGCCCTTGGGGTCTCTTCTACGTCTAGGATTCTCTCATTCTAAGGAGGTCTTGGATGGTGTCCTCCTACCCTTGGGGTCTCTTCTACGTCTAGGATTCTCTCATTCTAAGGAGGTCTTGGATGGTGTCCTCCTGCCCTTGGGGTCTCTTCTACGTCTAGGATTCTCTCATTCTAAGGAGGTCTTGGATGTGTCCTCCTGCCCTTGGGGTCTCTTCTACGTCTAGGATTCTCTCATTCTAAGGAGGTCTTGGATGGTGTCCTCCTACCCTTGGGGTCTCTTCTACGTCTAGGATTCTCTCATTCTAAGGAGGTCTTGGATGGTGTCCTCCTGCCCTTGGGGTCTCTTCTACGTCTAGGATTCTCTCATTCTAAGGAGGTCTTGGATGTGTCCTCCTGCCCTTGGGGTCTCTTCTACGTCTAGGATTCTCTCATTCTAAGGAGGTCTTGGATGGTGTCCTCCTGCCCTTGGGGTCTCTTCTACGTCTAGGATTCTCTCATTCTAAGGAGGTCTTGGATGTGTCCTCCTGCCCTTGGGGTCTCTTCTACGTCTAGGATTCTCTCATTCTAAGGAGGTCTTGGATGGTGTCCTCCTACCCTTGGGGTCTCTTCTACGTCTAGGATTCTCTCATTCTAAGGAGGTCTTGGATGGTGTCCTCCTGCCCTTGGGGTCTCTTCTACGTCTAGGATTCTCTCATTCTAAGGAGGTCTTGGATGTGTCCTCCTGCCCTTGGGGTCTCTTCTACGTCTAGGATTCTCTCATTCTAAGGAGGTCTTGGATGGTGTCCTCCTACCCTTGGGGTCTCTTCTACGTCTAGGATTCTCTCATTCTAAGGAGGTCTTGGATGGTGTCCTCCTGCCCTTGGGGTCTCTTCTACGTCTAGGATTCTCTCATTCTAAGGAGGTCTTGGATGGTGTCCTCCTGCCCTTGGGGTCTCTTCTACGTCTAGGATTCTCTCATTCTAAGGAGGTCTTGGATGTGTCCTCCTGCCCTTGGGGTCTCTTCTACGTCTAGGATTCTCTCATTCTAAGAGAGCCTTCATCGAATCTATATGGGACTCCGTTGCCTCCCTACCAACCCCAACGAAGGCACCCTTGTCCTCCAGCCCAAGGAAAGGTACCTTTTTCTGGGGAAGCCACGCTCTCGGAGCTCTCCTCCACCCCCTCCATGCCTCCCAGGTCTGGCAAGACTCAGGCTCCTCTTAAACGGTCACTGGATCCTGAAAAAGCAGATGAAAGACAATGAACATCTCAATGAACATCAAAGAATCAGACCAGGAAGAGTGAGTAGTGTGGACAGAAGTTCTTCTGAAGGACCTCCAGTCTCCTTGGTTTCAAGGAGACACTTCGGACTGAATCACAGGCGGCATGAAGTCATCAGTGAAGAGCAAGCATGGGCCAACTTTGGCCTTCCCTCCAGGTGTTTTGGACTTCAACACCCATAATTCCTAAGCAACCATCACCCAAGTCAAAAAAGAAGCACCATTAAAGCCTTGGCAGACCGTGCAAAAAGAATCTGTGAACCCCACCTCCTCCAAGATGAACTGAGCCACCTCAACTGGGCTCTCCAGGCCAATGGATACTCCACCTCAGACATCAGAAGAGCTGCAAGACCACGAACAAGCCACGAGAGTCAAGACGAAGATCCACCCAGAGGAAAAGTGTTCTTGCCATACATCAAGGGAACCACTGACCGCAGAGGGAAGCTGACGAGGAAACACAACATACAAACTATCTACAGACCCACCAAGAAAATCCAACAAATGCTACGTTCAGCAAAGGACAAGAGGGATCCTCTCACCTCTGCAGGAGTCTACCGTGTACCATGCAGCTGTGGACAAGTCTACATAGGACCACCAAACGCAGCATTGCCCAAACACGAATCAAGGAACATGAAAGGCACTGCAGACTACTTCAACCAGAGAAGTCAGCCATAGCAGAGCACCTGATGAACCAACCTGGACAGGTTGAGAACACAGAAATGCTAGACCACTCTCACAACCACCATGTCAGACTACACAGAGAAGCCATTGAAATCCAAACAAGCATGTGGACAATTTCAACAGAAAGGAGGAAACCATGAAAATGAACAAAATCTGGCTACCAGTATTTAAAAAACTCTAAAATTACAACAGCACAACAACAGAGAGGAAACAAACAAGGGCATCTAATCACCTCTCAACAAAAGTTTGCTCCATGCACTGTCAGGCCATTATATGCTAATCAAGGTGGTCAGTTGAAACATTCACACCTAGCTCCAGCAGACAAGAGTCCTTTGTCCCACCCTGGTCATTCCACAGATATATAAACCCTTTTCCTAGTTCCAACAGACCTCACTACCTCTGAGGATGCTTGCCATAGATGCAGGCGAAACGTCAGGAGAGAATGCCTCTAGACCATGGCCATATAGCCCGAAAAAACCTACAACTACCCATGCAATATTGGTAATAATAATGTATTACCAATATTGCATGGGTACACAACATATTATATTACATATTATTATATATTATCATATATTTAATATATCAGTATTACTATATTACAATATTATTATATATTATTATTATTATTATACTGCATTATTGTTAGTATTATCTTGTATTATTATATTATATTACTATCTATATTGTATATATGCATAATATATTATATACTATTATATATTATCAGTAGGAATTATATTTAATATATTAATATTATTATATTACAATATTAATACAGGCATATTATTTTAGTGTATTATTACTAGGTATTATGTTGTATTACATTATAATATTACTATCAATATTATATGTATACAAAATATATTGTATTATACATTATTATATATTATCAGTAGTAATTATATTTAATATATTAGTATTACTATATTACAACATTATTATATTATATTGTATTATTGGTATTATCTTGTATTACATTATTACTACCAAAATTGTATGTATACACTACACATTATATTATATATTATTATATATTATCAGTAGTAATTATATTTCAGATGAGCCCCCGGTGGCGCAGTGGGTTAAACCCCTGTGCCGGCAGGACTGAAGACCGACAGGTTGCAGGTTATTATATTTTCTTATTGGTATCATGTTGCATTACATTATAATATAACTACCAAAATTGTATGTATACACAACATATTATAACATATTATCAGTAGTAATTACATTTAATATATTAGTATTAGTATATTACAACATTATTATTATATTATATTGTATTATATATTATGATATATTTAATATATCAGTATTAGTATATTACAATATTATTATATATTATTATATTGCATTATGCTGGTCGCTTCTGTATAATGCAATATAATAATATATAATAATATTGTAATATACTAATACTGATATATTAAATATATCATAATATATAATACAATATAATATAATAATAATGTTGTAATATACTAATAATGGACTGGTTGCTCTGACACGACAAATAAAAATAACAATAAATATTGCATTATTATTGGCATTGTATTGCATCACATTATATTTCTATATATATATTGCATATATACACAATATATTATATACTATTATATATTATCAGTAGTAATTATATTTAATATATTAGTATTATTATATTACAATATTAATACAGGCATATTATTTTAGTGTATTATTAGTAGGTATTATGTTGTATTACATGATATTACTATCAATATTGTAGGTATACACAAAACATTATATTATATATTATCATATATTTAATATATCAGTATTACTATATTACAATATTATTATATATTATTATACTGCATTATTATTAGTATTATCTTGTATTACATTATATTTCTATCTATATTGTATTTACATACACAATATATTATATACTATTATATATTATTAGTATTATTTAATATATTAGTATTATTATATTACAATATTATTAATACATATATATTATTTTTGTGTATTCATGGTATTATGTTGTATATACATAATATATTATACACGATTATATATTGTCAGTAATTATATTTAATATATTAGTATTATTATATTACAATATTAATACATACATATTATTTTAGTGCATTATTACTAGATATTATGTTGTATTACATGATAACATTACTATCAATATTGTATGTATACACAACATATTGTATTATATTTATATATTATATTTAATATATTAGTATTACTATATTGCAACATTATATTTAATATATTAGTTATATATACACAATATATTATATACTAATATACCATCAGAATTATTTAATATATTAGTATTATTATATTACAATATTAATACAGGCATATTATTTTAGTGTATTATTACTAGGTATTATGTTGTATTACGTGATAACATTACTATCAATATTGAATGTATACAAAACATATTGTATTATATTTATATATTATATTTAATATATTAGTATTACTATATTACATTATATTTAATATATTTGTTATATATATTTAATATTATATTAAATTATATGTATATTTAATATATTAGTTTTACTATATTACACCATTATATTTAATATATTCGTTATAAATACACAATATATTATATGCTAATATACCATCAGTATTATTTAATATATCAGTATTATTATATTACAATATTAATACAGGCATATTATTTTAGTGTATTATTACTAGGTATTATGTTGTATTACATTATAATATTACTATCAATATTATATGTATACAAAATATATTGTATATTAATTATATTTAATATATTAGTATTACTATATTACAACATTATATTTAATATATTAGTATTACTATATTACAACATTATATTTAATATATTAGTATTACTATATTACAATAAAATTAATATATTTAATATATAATATTATATTAATATTATATTTAATATATTAGTATTACTATATTACAACATTATATTTATACAAAACATATTGTATTATATTTATATATTATATTTAATATATTAGTATTACTATATTACATTATATTTAATATATTTGTTATATATATTTAATATTATATTAAATTATATGTATATTTAATATATTAGTTTTACTATATTACACCATTATATTTAATATATTAGTTATATATATTTAAAATTATATTAAATTATATTTAATATATTAGAATTATTATACTACAATATTATTAATACATATATATTATTTTAGTGTATTAATGTTATTATGCTGTATTATGTTATTACTACCAATATTGCATGTATACACATTGTATTACATTATTAGCCTAGCACCATATTAGTATTACAGCTTAATTAGTGATTCAAGGCGCCTGCAACTCACCTGGCTCCCTCCCACTCTCCTGCTTCCTTACACGTGACTCAGAGCGCTCGCAACCCTCTTCCTCCCTGCCGTTTCCAAAGCAACAGCCAATCAGGGGCCGTATTCAAATCCTTAAAGGCGTCCCACCAATCAGCACTCGCGCTCCACGTTCCATTCGCTCAGCGCGCCCCCCCCCCCCCCCGCGCTTTCCCTGACTTTGCATAAAACAGGCAAGAACAACCCTCTCTTGCCGTCTCCAGAGCAACGGCCAATCAGGAGCCGTATTCAAATCCCTAAAGGCGTCTCACCAATCGGAACTCGCGCTGTAAGTTCCAATCGCTCAGCGCGCCCCCCTGACTGCATTAAACAGGCAAGCACACCCTTCTCTTGCCGTCTCCAGAGCAACGGCCAATCAGGAGCCGTATTCAAATATAACCAGTGCGTCCCCACCAATCAGCGCCCGCGCTCAACGTTCCATTAGCTCAGCCCCTCCACCCACCTCTCTTCTTCCCAGATCTGTTTCCTTAGTAGGTTTTCCCCTTCCAACTCCCCCAAGGTTTACCTTTCCAGGAAAAGAGCAGAAGAAGCGCCTTTTTGGGTCCTCCAAATGCGAGCTCAGCTTCCTAGACAGGTAGGGAAGGCTAATGGAAGGGAGAGGGTGACGCAATTTCCTCTGACATCACTTCCGGAAGTGCAGGGGAGGAGCTTGCCTTCTTGATGAGAGGGAGGAAGAGGAAGGTGAAAGGCATTGTGGGAGTTGAAGTCCGAAATACCTGGAATCATAGAATCAAAGAGTTGGAAGAGACCTCCTGGGCCATCCAGTCCAACCCCATTCTGCCAAGAAGCAGGAATATTGCATTCAAATCACCCCTGACAGATGGCCATCCAGCCCCTGTTTCAAAGCTTCCAAAGAAGGAGCCTCCACCACACTCCGGGGCAGAGAGTTCCACTGCTGAACGGCTCTCACAGTCAGGAAGTTCTTCCTCATGTTCAGATGGAATCTCCTCTCTTGTAGTTTGAAGCCATTGCTCCATTGCGTCCTAGTCTTGAAATCAAACTAGACTTTAGGGGTTTGTAGGTCAGCACCTGACCTTAGTTCCCACCAAAGAGGGAACGCTACCTTGGCAAGCCTTCAGAGAAGCCTGATTCCAGCAATTTTATTTAATATTAATAATTGAAATGAGACTCTTGCCAAAGTGAAGAAGGGGCATCGAGGTTTAATGAGCGATTCAGCTGAGATCGGATGCACTGTAGGGATATTTCCACTACAAGCATACCAGCACAGAGTTTACAGGCATTTTTATAGGCAAAATACAGGTTTGAAAGTTTCAAAACTCCCTCCCTCTTCGGCTCCTTAGCAAATCAGGGAGAGGGAGGCAGGACGGAAGAGGGGCATTGTGTCCAGAGAGGATGATGACATTCCACTGTCCTGTGCCCGGGGGATCAGCCAGCCAAGGAAACTAGTTTTTTGTTCTTGTGATGGATCAGTGATTAGGGATAATCATTTGATTCAGGTTTTCCCCTTCCAGGATCAGATAAGGTAAAAGGTGAGGCTGAGAAGGATGTTTGTTGTGAAGGAAAACTTGGCAGAGGAAATCACAGTCTGATGACCCCCTCCTAAAGTCAAATAGTAACTCCAGGTCCCATTGTTCAGATGTGAGTTCCAAGTAAATAGGTGTTTTTGTGATTCCTGATTGCCTTTTCAGCCCAGCGGGCTGCTCCCTGATCAGCCTCCCAAAGGGCAAAAGAGTTCATGGCTGGGTCAGACTTGTGAAGGAAATACATAGAAGGAAAGTATATAGATCAATCACCCCTTCTCCATCCCACCCACCAGAGAAATTTAATAAAGAAATTATTTTCAAGCAATGTGAGTCCATGAGCGGGAAAGATGTCCTTGTGAGTCCAAAACGTTAGGCAGAGCTGCCACGCTGGGATCGAAGCTGGTCCCTGGGAAACTACAACTCTCATGGAGGGCAGAAGTCCCAAGATCCAGCCGTTTCCCAAAAGCCTCGTGGGGTCCTTGTTGTTGTCAGTGTTTTGGCAATGTGACCAAGACTTGACCCTTGTTGTGTAGTCTGGTGCCCTTGCCCTTTGCAGAACTATAAGTCACTATCCCTTATTTGGGGGGGGGGGTGCTCAACATCAGTCTCCAGGGCAGCAGAAAACAAGCTTGCTCCCTCCTCCTCCCTGTGGCTTCCTCTCACATATTTATACATGGCTATCATATCTCCTCTCAGCCTTCTCTTCTTCAGGCTAAACATGTCCAGGTCTTTAAGCCTGAGCAATTACAGGCCAATCTCCAACCTCCCTTTTTTGGGTAAGGTGCTGGAGCGGGTGGTTGCCTCCCAGCTTCAGAGCTTCTTAGATGATACCAACTACCTAGATCAGTCACAGTCTGGTTTCAGGCCTGGTCATGGCACCGAGACAGCCTTGGTCGCCTTGGTGGATGACCTCCGCAGAGAGCTGGACGGGGGAGTGTGACTCTGTTGGTTCTCTTGGACATCTCAGCGGCTTTCGATACCATCGATCATGGTATCCTTCTGGGTCGTCTCTCTGGGATGGGCCTCGGGGGCGCGGTTTTGTCGTGGCTCCGGTCCTTCCTCGAGGGACGAACCCAGATGGTGAAGCTGGGTGACGCCTGCTCAGACCCCTGGCCTTTGACCTGTGGGGTCCCGCAAGGCTCTATTTTGTCGCCCATGCTTTTCAACATCTACATGAAACCGCTGGGAGAGGTCATCCGGAGTTTTGGAGTTGGGTGCCATCTTTATGCGGATGACGCACAACTCTACTACTCTTTTCCACCTAATTCCAAGGAGGCCTCTCGGGTGCTGGACGAGTGCCTGGCCGCTGTGTCGATCTGGATGAGGAAGAACAAGCTGAAGATCAATCCCGACAAGACAGAGGTCCTCCTGGTCGATCGTAAACCGGATCGGGGTATAGGGTGGCAACCTGTGTTGGACGGGGTTACACTCCCCCTGAAGCCACAGGTCTGCAGTTTGGGTGTCCTCTTGGATTCTTCGCTCACACTTGAGGCTCAGGTGTCGGCGGTATCCGGGAGGGCCTTTGCACAATTGAGACTTGTGCGCCAGCTGCGACCGTACCTCGCGAAGGCAGATCTGGCCGGGGTGGTCCACGCCTTGGTCACCTCTAGAATGGATTACTGCAATGCGCTCTACGTGGGGCTGCCCTTGAAGACAGCTCGGAAACTTCAATTGGTCCAGCGGGCAGCAGCCAGGATGCTAACCGGGGCTCATTATCAAGAGAGGTCTACCCCTCTGTTTAAGGAGCTCCACTGGCTGCCATTTATTTTCCGAGCCCAATTCAAGGTGCAGGTGCTCACCTACAAAGCCCTGAACGGTTTGGGACCACCCTACCTGCGTGACCGCATCTCCATCTACGAACCCACACGCTCGCTCCGGTCATCTGGGGAGGCCCTGCTCGTGATCCCACCCACGTCGCAAGCGCGCTTGGTGGGGACACGGGACAGGGCCTTTTCTGTGGCGGCCCCCCGACTTTGGAATGCCCTTCCAAAAGATCTTCGACAGGCCCCTACTTTAGCAGCTTTCAGAAAGAACCTAAAAACTTGGCTGTTCCGATGTGCCTTCTCAGATTAGGAATTCCCCATCCCAAGTCCTAGAAGCACTTTAGTACAATTAATATTGCTGCACACCGCACTATTTTAATCCTATGCCTCCTGCCATTTCAGCACTTTTAACCCTGTACCCCATTGCTCTGGCCGGCCCAGTTTTAAAGTGTCCTGATGTATTGTCACTGTTGTTGTTATTCTGCTTAACTATTTTGATTTGCTTTGTTTATTGTTGTGTTATGTTCTTACTGTATTGTGTTCTGAGGCTTCGGCCTGTGTAAGCCGCATCGAGTCCCTCGGGAGATGCTAGCGGGGTACAAATAAAGTTAATAATAATAATAATAATAATAAATAATAATAATACCAGTATTCAAATTTGGGCATTTGATCATTTGAGTCACCATCCTCTGGACATATTCCAGCTTGTCAACATCTCCCTTCAATTGTGGTGCCCAGATTGGGACAAAAGATATATACACATATAATATATTATATTATTAGCATATTTTTTTTGCCGTGTCAGGAGCAATTTGAGAAACTGCAAGTCGCTTCTGGTGTGAGAGACTTGGCCGTCTGCAAGGACGTTGCCCAGGGGACGCCTGGATGATTTAATGTTTTTATCATCCTTGTGGGAGGCTTCTCTCATGTCCCCGCATGAGGAGCTGGAGCTGATAGATGGAGCTCATCCGCCTCTCCCCAGATTCGAATCTTCAACCTGTCAGTCTTCAGTCCTGCCGGCACAGGGGTTTAACCCACTGCACCACCGGGGGCTCCATCGTAGTACAGTATCAGTATTATATATCACTATATTGTACTATACCATTATATTGTAATATTATTAGCAATATTACATGTAATATAAAATATATAATTATCATATTATTAGTAGTAGTATTATGTTGTACTAGCTGTACCTGCCACACGTTGCTGTGGCCAACCTTCCCTCCCTCTTTCTCTCCTTCCCAATTTTTCTTTCCCTTTTTCTTTCTTCCTTCTCTATGTTTCTTTCCTCGCTTCCTTTTCTCTTTGGTTCCATCCATCCTTCCCTCTTTCCTTCCTTCCTTCCTTTCTTTCCTCCCTCCCTCCCTCTTTCATTCCTTCTTTCCTTCCTTCCCTCTCTTTCCTTCCTTCTTTCACTTTTTTATTTCCTTCTCTCCTTTCTTCCTTACCTTTCTTTCTTTCCTTCCTTCCTTCTCTCCTTCTTTCCTTCCACCTTTATGTGTATATTTGTTTTGTGTGTATATATGCATATATGTGTGTATATATGTGGTTTTGCACATGCGTTGTAATGTAATTTTTGTTTTTTGGCTTTTATAGTCTTATCTGCTGTGTTTTTCAACGTTTTTATGAGTGATGGTGACTCGTTGGCCTAATAGGTATGTTGTGTCCAAATTTGGTGTCAATTCCCCCAGTGGTTTTTGAGTTATGTTAATCCCACAAACGAACATGACATTTTTATTTATATAGATTATATTATGATATTATATTATATTATTAGCATAATACAGGAGACAAGGTGGAACTGTCCCCTGGTCCCTTCTCTCTTCCTGTGGCCCAGAGCAGTGGCTTTGGAAGCTTTTAAACAGAGGCTGGATGGCCATCTGTCAGGGGGTGCTTTGAATTCAATATTCCTGCTTCTTGGCAGAATGGGGTTGGACTGAATGGTCCATGAGGTCTCTTCCAACTCTTTGATTCTATGATTCTAGTTGGTGCTGGGATTCAAGTGATCAGGAAAGAGATTCCACGTTAACATTAGGAAGTAGCTCCCTATGTCCGCTCCGGCTTCCCATGCAAGAACATGAGAGAAGCCTCCCACAAGGGTGGTAAAACATCAAAACATCCGGGCGTCCCCTGGGCAACATCCTTGCAGACGGCCAATTCTCTCACACCAAAAGCGACTTGCAGTTTCTTAAGTCGCTCCTGACATGACAAAAAAATTATTATATTGTATTATTGGTATCATGTTGTATGTATACACTACATATTATATTATATATTATTGTATATTATCATATATTTAATATATCAGTATTACTATATTACAATAAGTATATATTATTGCAGACGGGCAATTCTCTCAGCCCAGAAGCGACTTGCGGTTTCTCAAGTTGCTCCTGACACAGGAAAAAACAAAACCCCGCACATCAAAACCATTGGTCTGTATGGCCAACTAATGTCACCTTTCCTTTTCTTTCCCCGTTGGTACATATGCTGTGCGACTGCACAGTGACATGATTATGACACATGTCCTAACACAGTGATGGGCAACCTTTTGAGCTTGGTGTGTCAAAATTTGCCAAAAACCTGAGCATAACTTGGGTGGGGTGTCAACTTCGAGAAAAAAAAAAACCCATAATTTTGCAATATTTATAGTTTAAATAAGAAATATGTATAATCCATGCTGAGTTATGGAGTGAACAATGCTCAAACGTGCAAATGTTAAATTTGTAGAGCCTTTTACAAATGTAAGGATGGAATTAGATTGACTCTTATAAGGTGTACTTCTCTGTATGTGGCCGCATGTGGCCGCATGTCATCAAAAATAGCCATGCATGTCAGTGCTGACACGCGTGTCATAGGTTTGCCATCAACACCCTAACATCACATATCTATATAAATAAAAATGTAACATTCGTTTGTAGGATTCACATAACTCAAAAACCATTGGATGAATTGCTGCCAAATTTGGCCACAAGACACCTACTAACCCAAGGAGTGACCATCATTCAGAAAAATTTAATTTTGCCATTTGAGAGTTGTAGATGTTGGGATTTATAGTTCACCTCCAATCAAAGAGCATTCTGAACTCCACCAACGATGGAATTGAACCAAACGTGGCACACAGGACTCCCACGACCAACAGAAAAGACTAGAAGGATTTGGTGGGCATTGACCTTGAGTTTGGGAGTTGTAGTTCACCTACATCCAGAGAGCACTGTGGACTCAAACAATGATGGATCTGGACCAAACTTGGCACAAATATTCCATATGCCCAAATACGAACACAGATGGAGTTTGGGGGAAATAGACCTTGACATTTGGGAGTTGTAGTTACTGGGATTTATAGTTCACCTACAATCAAAGAACATTCTGAACCCCACCAACGACAGAATTGGGGCAAACTTCCCACACAGAACCCCCATACTTAAGGCCATCCTGTCCAACTCCCTTCATCAGGGCAAGAAAACGTAATCAATGCCTTCATGACAAAGAGCCATCCAGCCATAGATAGAGATAGATATGATTCACACACACATATGTATATGACAGATATATTATCACAGACTTGAAAGGGACCCCTGAAGAAGGACAATTACTGTATATTCTCAAGTATAAGCCTAGTTATTCAGCCCCCTTTTCAGGCTGAAAAAGTTCCCTTTGGCTTATACTTGAGCCAAGGTTATTTATTACTTTACTTTGTTATTAGTATCATTTTATTACATGAATTATTTTAATATATTAATTATTATTATATTTACATTATTTTACTCTACAGCATTATTATTTTATTACATTTATTATTAGAGTTATTTTTATATTATTATATATTATTATATTATTAATAATAATAGTATTATTATTTATTTACTCTTTATGATTTTTACATTTATTATTTTACTTTATTTTTATTGTTACTGAATTTATAATTTTACTCTGTTATTACTTTTATTACATTTATTACATTTCCATTGTTTTACTCTATTATTATTATTATTATTATTATTATTATTATTATCCTGACACAGCAAGATTATTATTATTATTATTATTATTATTATTATTATTATTATTACTAGCCGTCCCCTGCCATGCGTTGCTGTGGCCCAATTCTATTGTTGGTGGGGTTCAGAATTTTCTGTGATTGTAGGTGAACTATAAATCCCAGCAACTACAACTCCCAAATGTCAAGATTCTATTTTCCCCAAACTCCACCAGTGTTCACATTTGGGCATATTGAGTATTCGTGTAGAGTTTGGTCCAGATCCATCATTGTTTGAGTCCAGAGTGATCTCTGGATGTAGGTGAACTACAACTCCAAAACCAAAGGACACTGCCCACCAAACCCTTCCAGTATTTTCTGTTGGTCATGGGAGAACTGTGTGCCAAGTTTGGTTCAATTCCATCGTTGGTGGGGTTCAGAATGCTCATTGATTGTAGGTGAACTATAAATCCCAGCAACTACAACTCCCAAATGACAAAATCAATTTTTTTGAGTGAAGGACATACATTGGCCTGATAGGTGTCTTGTGTCCAAATTTGGTGTCAATTCGTCCAGTGGTTTTTGAGTTCTGTTAATCCCACAAATGAACATTACATTTTTATATATATATATGTATATTATTATTATTATTATTATTATTATTATTTTACTCTCTTTATTATTATTGGAGGGATACATAAGCACATTTACACTGAAGATTAGAATAATGATTTAATCAGAGCTGGACAGTCTTATCTTAAATTACAGTTTTATGTAAATATTCAAAACATTTAACCTACTGATGCCTCAATTAATGTAATTTTATTGATATCTATTTTTATTTTGAAATTTACCAGTAACTGCTGCATTTCCCACCCTCGGCTTATACTCGAGTCAATAAGTTTTCCCAGTTTTTTGTGGTAAAATTAGGTGCCTCGGCTTATATTCGGGTCGGCTTATACTTGAGTATATACGGTATATGTTGCATGTTCTAGAGCAGGCAAACCAGACAATCTCCGCATCAACACTGGCAAAGAAACAGCAAGAAATGCTGTTTACTCCCCCTGAAGTCACAAGTCCGCAGTTTGGGTGTCTTCCTGGACTCATCACTTACGCTTGAGGCTCAGGCGTCGGTGGTGCCGGGAGGGCCTTTACACAATTAAGACTCGTGCGCCAACTGCGACCGTACCTCGTGAAGGCGGATCTGGCCAGGGTAGTCCATGCCTTAGTCACCTGCAGATTGGATACTGTAATGCACTCTACGTGGGGCTACCCTTGAAAACGCCCGAAATTTCCAATTTGGCGGGATGCTCTGGCCCATGCCTTAGTCACCTCCAGATTGGACTACTGTAATGCACTCATTGCGGGGCTGCCCTTGAAAATGGCCCGGAAATTCCAGTTGGTTCAATGAGCGGCAGCCAGGTTGTTAACTGGTGCTCCTTACAGGGAGAAGTCAACCCTCCTGTTTAAGGCAGCTCCATTGGCTGCCGTTCATTTTCCGGACCCAATTCAAGGTGCAGGTTCTCACCTACAAAGCCCTGAAAGGTTTGGGACCTGCCTACCTGCGTGGCCGCATTTCTGTGTACAAACCCACGCGGTCTCTTTGATCATCTGGAGAGGCCCTGCTTGCACTCCCGCCTGCATCACAAGCGCGACTGGTGGGGACGAGAGAGAGCGCCTTCTCTGTGGTGGCCCCTCAACTCTGGAGCTCACTTCCCAAGGACATCAGGCGTGCCCCATCACTGGCAGTCTTTAGGAGGAGTTTGAAAATGTGGTTATTCCAGTGTGCCTTCCCAGAATAATGAACCCTTAGCACTATGTCCTCTAAAGCACCTTATACTGATTTAGGATTGTTTGTATGTTCCCACCAATGCCCCACCTCCCTATCTTGTTCATAGAATCTTAGAATCAAAGAGTTGGAAGAGACCTCCTGGGCCATCCAGTCCAACCCCATTCTGCCAAGAAGCAGGAATATTGCATTCAAATCACCCCTGACAGATGGCCATCCAGCCTCTGTTTAAAAGCTTCCAAAGAAGGAGCCTCCACCACACTCCGGGGCAGAGAGTTCCACTGCTGAACGGCTCTCACAGTCAGGAAGTTCTTCCTCATGTTCAGGTGGAATCTCCTCTCTTGTAGTTTGAAGCCATTGTTCCATTGCGTCCTAGTCTCCAGGGAAGCAGAAAACAAGCTTGCTCCCTCCTCCCTGTGGCTTCCTCTCACATTTTTATACATGGCTATCATGTCTCCTCTCAGCCTTCTCTTCTTCAGGCTAAACATGCCCAGCTCCTTAAGCCGCTCCTCATAGGGCTTGTTCTCCAGACCCTTGATCATTTTAGTCGCCCTCCTCTGGACACATTCCAGCTTGTCAATAACTCTCTTGAATTGTGGTGCCCAGAATTGGACACAATATTCCAGGTGTGGTCTAACCAAAACAGAATAGGGGGGTAGCATGACTTCCCTAGATCTAGACACTATGCTCCTATTGATGCAAAACTTTCTCGTTACTTTATTTTCCAGTTCACCAGACTGGGCCTCAGCAACACCTGGCAGGGGACAGCTAGTTTACAAATATTTCCAAGCAAGGAGCTGCTCCTGTCTCTGTGTGTGGGCCTTCGTGCTCCCCCCTCGCATGGCCCCTTCCCCGCCTGCCTGTCCCCCATTGTTTGCTTCTCTTGCCTCTCGGGGAAGCTGTGCAGCTGCTCCTTTGGGGACCAAAGGGCACACCTGCCTTTGTCTCTCTGGCTCCTTCTACCCTCCTGCAGGATCCCAAGGGAAGGGTGTGACCGATTGGAGAGACAGGGATGCCAAGGAGATAAGCCAACAACTACACACCCGGCTTAGTAAAGGCACACACTGGGCGAGCATCCTCCCCGGCTTTTCCTGCAAAGAAGGCAGGTGGGGACAAAGAAGCAGCAGCATCACCTTCGCCACATCAACGTGAGTATCCAAAGCAAGCGTAAAACGTATCCCTTAGGAAGTAAACATGTTGACATTTGGGGAAGTCATTGTATCGAAAATGTCGCAGCACTTGACACCGAGAGCCAATCTTGCAAGGATTTAAAGCAGTGTTTCTCAGTCTGGGGGTCACAAGGGGGGTGTCGAAGAGGTTGCCAAAGACCACCAGAAAACACAGTTGGCTATCCTCTGTTCATGTCCAGTATTTAGTTTTGAAGTTTTAACTATTACACCTGGTCCGGCCATAGGTTTTTAATCATTGTGTGTTATTGTCTATGTGTGAGTTATATCAATTGTATTGTTTATTTTGCTTATTGCTTGTTGTTTTGATTGATGTGTTGTTCGCTTGGCCTCATGTTAGCCACTCTGAGTCCCTTGGAGAGATGGTGGCAGGATATAAATAAAGTTGTTATTATTATTATTATTATTATTATTATTATTTATTCTGTGTGGGAAGTTTGGCCCAATTCAGAATGTCCAGAACGCTCTTTGATTGTAGGGGAGCAATCATTCCAGCAACTACAACTCCCAAATATCAAGGTCTATTCCCCCTAAACTCCATCTGTCTTCACATTTGGGCATATTGAGTATTTGGGCCAAGTTTGGTCCAGATCCGTCATTGTTTGAGTTCACAGTGGGAGTTTTGTGTGCCAAGTTTGCTAAAATTCCATCGTTGGTGGAGTTCAGAATGCTCTTTGATTGTATTTGAACTATAAATCCCAGAAACTACAGTTCCCAAATGTGAAAGCCTGTTTTCCCCAAACTCCACCAGTGTTCACATTTGGGCATATTGAGTATCTGTGCCAAGTTTGGTCCAGATTCGTCATTGTTTGAGTCCACAGTGCTCTCTGGATGTAGGTGAACTACAACTCAAAAACTCAAGTTCAATGCTCACCAAACCATTCCAGTATTTTCTGTTAGTCGTGGGATTTCTGTGTGCCAAGTTTGCTTCGATTCCGTTGTTGGTGGAGTTCAGAATGCTCGTTGATAATATTTGAACTATAAATCCCAAAAACTACAGCTCCCAAACATCAAGGTCTGTTTTCCCCAAACTCCACCAGTGTTCACATTTGGGCATATTGAGTATCCGTGCCAAGTTTGGTCCAGATCTGTCATTGTTTGAGTTGTAAACAGTACTCTCTGGATGTAAGTGAACTACAACTATCAAACTCAAGGTCAATGCCCATCAAACCCTTCAAGTATTTTCTGGTGGTTGTGGGAGCTCTGTGCCAAGTTTGCTTCAATTCCATTGTTGGTGAGTTCAGAATGCTCTTTGATATCTGTGCCAAGTTTGGTCCTGATCCATCATTGTCTGAGTCCACAGTGCTCTCTGGATGTAGGTGAACTACAACTCAAAAACTCAAGTTCAATGCTCACCAAACCCTTCCAGTATTTTCTGTCAGTCATGGGAGTTTTGTGTGCCAAGGCTGGTACAATTCCATCATCGGTGGAGTTCAGAATGCTCTTTGATGGTAGGTGAACTACAAATCCCAGCAACTACAGCTCCCAAATGTGAAAGATCTGTTTTCCCCAAACCCCACTAGTGTTCACATTTGGGCATATCGAGTATCCATGCCAAGTTTGGTCCAGATCCATCATTGTTTGAGTCCACTATGCTCTTTGGATGTAGGTGAACTACAACTCCCAAATCCAAGATCAATGCCCACCAAACCCTTCCAGTATTTTCTGTTGGTTGTGGGATTTCTGTGTGCCAAGTTTGCTTCAATTCCATTGTTGATGAGTTCAGAATGCTCTTTGATATCTGTGCCAAGTTTGGTCCTGATCCATCATTGTCTGAGTCCACAGTGCGCTCTGGATGTAGGTGAACTACAACTCCCAAATTCAAGGTCAATGCCCACCAAACCCTTCCAGTATTTTCTGTTGGTCATTGGAGTTCTGTGTGCCAAGTTTGCTTTGATTCCATTATTGGTGGAGTTCAGAATGCTCTTTGATTGTAGGTGAACTATACATCCCAGCAAAGTACAACTCCCAAATGACAAAATCAATCTCCCCTCCAACCCCACCAGTATTCAAATGTGGGTGTTTGTGCCGAATTTGGTCTAGTGAATAGAAATTCATGCTGCGCATCAGGTATTTACATGATGATTCATAACAGTAGCAGAAATATAGTTATGAAGTAATAACAAAAATAATGTTATAATTGGGGGTCACCACCACAGGAGGAACTGTATTAAGGGGTCGCGGCATTAGGGTGGTTCAGAAACACTGATTTTAAAGTATAAATACTGCAGAAGAGGGATGCGGTTTGCATTTGGGCTCTCGACGGCTTTGCTTTTCCAGATTTTCTTTCAATGGCGAGAACAAAGAGTTGTGCAGGTGGGTTCTCGCTCTCTTTCTCTCTCTCTCTCTTTGTGAACGGGAACATCTCAACGGAGAAACTATTTCTGAATGTCCAATGTTTTCCTTCTTTTAGCATCTAGTGTCCTTTCCGAAGGTGTCTGTTTTATTGCAATTTTCAGGTTCTTTTTATTGCGATTTTCAGTTCGAGAGGGAATAATAATAATGTATTGTCGAAGGCTTTCATGGCTGGAATCACTGGGTTGTTGTAGGTTTTTTCGGGCTATATGGCCATGGTCTAGAGGCATTCTCTCCTGACGTTTCGCCTGCATCTATGGCAAGCATCCTCAGAAGTAGTGAGGTCCTCACTACCTCTGAGGATGCTTGCCATAGATGCAGGCGAAACATCAGGAGAGAATGCCTCTAGAACATGGCCATATAGCCCAAAAAACCCTACAACAACCCAATAATCATAATAACAACAACAACAACAACAACAAAACTTGATTTATACCCCGCCACCATCTCCCCAAGGGGACTCAGGGCGGCTTACATGAGGCCAAGCCCAGCGATGCAACAATGCAAATCTATATAAATAAAAATGTAATGTTCGTTTGTGGGATTCACAGAACTCAAAAACCACTGGACAAATTGCCGCCAAATTTGGTCACAAGACACCAAGGAGTGACCATCACTCAAAAAAAAAGTGATGTTGTCATTTGGGAGTTGTAGTTGCTGGGATTTATATGTGTTAAGTTTGCTTCGATTCCATTGTTGGTGGAGTTAAAAAAAACTGATTTTCTCATTTGGGAGTTGTAGTTGCTGGGATTTGTAGCTCACCTACAATCAAAGAGCATTCTGAACTCCACCAATGATGGAATTGAACCAAACTTGGCACACAGAACTCCCATGACCAATAGAAAACACTAGAAGGGTTTGGTGGGCATTGACCTTGAGTTTGGGAGTTGTAGTTCACCTACATCCAGAGAGCACTGTGGACTCAAACAATGATGGATCTGGACCAAACTTGGCACAAATACTCATATATGCCCAAATGTGAACACGGTGGAGTTTGGGGGAAACAGAACTTGACATTTGGGAGTTGTAGTTGCTGGGATTTACAGTTCACCTACAATCAAAGAGCATTCTGAACTCCACCAATGATGGAATTGAACCAAACTTGGCACAAACTGTTCCCTTGACCAACAAAAAATACTGGAAGGGATTGGTGGGCATTGACCTTGAGTTTTGGAGTTGTAGTTCACCTACATCCAGAGAGTACTGTGGACTTAAACAATGATGAATCTGCATCAAACTTGGCATAAATCCTCAATATGCTGAAATGTGAACACTGGTAGAGTTTGGGGGAAATAGAGCTTGACATTTGGGAGTTGTAGTTGCTGGGATTTATAGTTCATAAAATCATAGAGTTGGAAGAGACCTCATGGGCCTTCCAGTCCAACCCGCTGCCAAGAAGCAGGAAAATCTCAATCAAAGCACCCCTGACAGATGGCCTCCCAGCCTCTTTTTAAAAGCTTCCAAAAAGAAGCTTCAACCACACTCCAAGGCAGAGAGTTCCACTGCTGAACAGCTCTTACAGTCAGAAGTTCTTCCTAATGTTCAGGTGGAATCCTGTTTGAAGCCATTGTTCCGCATTCTGATCTCCAGGGCAGCAGAAAAAAAGCTTGCTCCCTCTTCCCTATGACTACCCCTCACATATTTATCCATGACTATCATATCTCCTCTCAGCCTTCTCTTCTGAAGGCTATACATGCCCAGGTCTTGAAGCCGTTCCTCATAGGGCTTGTTCTCCAGACCCTTGATCATTTTAGTGGCCCTCCTCTGGACACATTCCAGCTTGTCAACATCTCCCTTCAAGTGTGGTGCCCAGAATTGAACACAGTATTCCAGGTGTGGTATGACCAAGGCTGAATAGAGGGATAGCATGACTTCTCTGGATCTACAATCAAACACCTTGACATTTGGGAGTTGTAGTTACTGGGATTTACAGTTCACCTACAATCAAAGAGCATTCCGAACCCCACCAACGATAGAATTGAGTCAAACTTCCTACACAGAACCCCCATGGCCAACAGAAAATACTGTGTTTTCCGATGGTCTTTGGCAACCCCTCTGACACCCCCTTCGCAAGCCCTCCAAGGGGTCTCGCTCCCCAGGTTGAGAAACACTGCCATAGAGCATGTCGGGTGGACCAGACTCCTCTGGTCTGCCACAATTGATAATTATTACATTGAGTCTTTTATAAGAATATTCTGCTGATGTAGTAAACAATTGTCCTGTTTGAAATTATCTTGAGTCTTCACAGTCTCCTGACATAGATGTTGCTCTTCAGGTAACAAACCATTGGGTTCTAGGTTTGACTAGAATCGTTGGGTTCTAGGTTTGACTTTGGCTAATGTAAACAGAGATCATTTCCTTTAGAGTGAATCCAGTTTCTGGTCAGCAAATGTTGACAATTGTAAACAGATGGAAACATTTCTCTTATCATTGTCACAGTTCTTATCACAGTTTACTTTTTCAGTTCTCATTAGCAGGTTTTAATTACAGCCCAGCAAGGAAGCAGTTCATGATTTAGTCCTTGCAGGAATGGTGTCTCCAAAATTATTAGCTCTCATTCATACACTTTTCATTCAATTCCAATCATACCCACATACCAAATCCATGTTTATCAAATCTGCACATTATATTTCTTTTGGCAGGATCACCCATGTCTGATTCGGAGGGCTCTCTACAAGAAGTCAGGATGGAGGATGATGGGAGCATGGCTTCTCTGGGTAAGGATCCCTTTTGCCTTCTTTGGGTTGTTCCTGAAAGGCTAATGTCCTGTGCTTGGCCTTTGCCTCTGCACTGAAATGATCAGCTGTATTCACCCCAGCCTTCTATGCCATTCTGTGCTGGACCGAGTTGTATGTTCTAGAAGCATTCTCTCCTGACGTTTCACCCACATCTATGGCAGGCATCCTCAAAGGTTGGGATATCTGTTGGAAACTAGGCAAGTGAGGTTTATACATATCTGTATATCTGTGGAATGATGTCCAGGGCAGGAGAAAGAACTCTTGTCTGCTGGAGGGAAGTGTGAATGTTGCAATTGGCCATCTCGATTAGCATTTAATAGCCTTCCAGCTTCAAAGCCTGGCTGGACAGTAAATAAAGAGCAACACTAAAAAAACAGGGGAATTCCAGACAAGAATCAACCAGGGCCAGCTAACACCTCCCAGCAAAGGGGGCTCCTTCTTTGGAGGCTTTTAAACAGGCTGGATGGCCATGTGTCATAGTGCTTTGCTTGCAATTCTTCTGGGTAGGGGGTTGGACTGGATGGCCACAAGGTCTCATCCAACTCTATGATTCTATGATTTTCCGAGGCAGGAAGGAGCCAGGCTTTATGGGTGTCTTTTATTACCTTCCCACTGAGGTGCTACCTATTGATCTACTCACGTTTGCATGCTTAAGAACAGCTAGGTTGGTAAAAGCTGGAGCTAACAGTGGGAGCTCACCCAGTTAGAAGACAGGCAAAAAGGATTAACGCGAGGCATTGAGCTTATGCCAGCCCAGCCAGATTTTATCTTCTTCTCCTTGCTTAGCCACAATTATTATTATTATAAATATAAATATAATAATAATAATAATAATAATAATAATAATAATAATAATAATCTTTGTCAAGACTGACAAAGTTTTGGAGCACAATATACCAGACATCACGATTGTGGAAAAGAAAAAAGTCTGGATTACTGATGTCGCCATACCGGGTCGCACTGAGGAAAAACAACAGGAAAAACCCAGCCATTATCAAGACCTCAAAGGCTCTGGCATAAACCAGCACAGCTAGTCCCAGTGGTAATGGGTGCATTGGGTGCCGTGCCAAAAGACCTCAGCCAGCATTTGGAATCAATAAACATCAACAGAATCACAATCTGTCAATTGCAAAAGGCCACCTTACTTGGATCTGTGTGCATCATTCGAAAATACATCACACCGTCCTAGACGCTTGGGAAGTGTTCGACTTGTGATTTTGTGATACGAAATCCAGCATAGAGATCTCGTTTGCTGTGACATACTGTGCTTTTGTGTCAGTAAAATAATAATATACACTAATAATACAAATGTAAAAGCCAGCATAGTGATCTTGTTTTCTGTCTACTAATCTTGTTATGCATCAAACAATAATAATAATAATAATAATAATAATAATAATAATAATACACAGAGCAGATTACAGCATTTTTATACATAGGCAAACATTCAATGCCTTTACAATCATAGAATCAAAGAGTTGGAAGAGACCTCATGGGCCATCCAGTCCAACCCCTGCCAAGAAGCAGGAATATTGCATTCAAATCACCCCTGAACAGATGGCCATCCAGCCTCTGTTTAAAAGCTTCCAAAGAAGGAGCCTCCACCACACTCCGGGGCAGAGAGTTCCACTGCTAACAGCTCTCACAGTCAGGAAGTTCTTCCTCATGTTCAGATGGAATCTCCTCTCTTGTAGTTTGAAGCCATTGTTCCGCGTCCTAGTCTCCAGGGAAGCAGAAAACAAGCTTGCTCCCTCCTCCCTGTGGCTTCCTCTCACATATTTATACATGGCTATCATATTCCCTCTCAGCCTTCTCTTCTTCAGGCTAAACATGCCCAGCTCCTTTAGCCGCTCCTCATAGGGCTTGTTCTCCAGACTTTTTATCATTTTAGTCGCTCTCCTCCTCCTCGCTCTCCTCCTCTCCTGTACAATGAGACACACAAACAAAGGCAAAGGCTTCCCCTTTCATTTCCGGCTTCTGGAGGGAGGGCTCATCTCTGTCTCTGGGGAGGTACTTTCTCCATTTTTAAGCCGAGCAGCCTGCGTTGTCACCTCCTGGTTGTGAGGCCAGCAAGATTGCTTGGAATCATAGAACCCTAGAGTTGGAAGAGACCTGGTGGGCCATCCAGTCCAACCCCATTCTGCCAAGAAGCAAGAAAATTGCATTCAAGGCAGCTCTGACAGGGGACCATCCTGCCTATGTTTAAAAGCCTTCAAGGAAGAAATCTCCACCACACTCCAGGTCAGAGGGAGTGAGTTCCACTGTTGAACAGCTCTTTCACAGTTAGGAAGTTCTTCCTCATGTTCAGGTGGAATCTCCTTTCCTGTAGTTTGAAGCCATTGTTCCACATCCTAGTCTCCAGGGCAGCAGAAAGCAAGCTTGGAGCATCCCTTTGCCTTTTCCTGCCGAAACAGTACCTATTTATCGACTCACATTTGCATGTTTTTGAACTGCTAGCTTGTTAGGAGCTGGAGCTGACAGACAGGAGCTTACCCCTTTAGGTCAGCAGATTCAACAGTTCAACAGTTTAACCTGTTGCGCCACCACAGCCCCTGAAATTCATCCTCGTGTTCTGTCACCTGGAAGGAAAGGGGTCAATTGCCTCTTCCTAGTAAATAGGGCAATTGATCCAAAGAGATGCTATTGGCTGTGATAGTAGTGTGCTCCAAAAGCAAGGCATATTATAAGGAGTGGGTGGGTGGGTGGGTTTTGGGGGAGGCGGTGTTCTTGATAAAGAAGTAATTTTTACTAATCCGATCCTCCTCTTTTTCCTCAAGAAGTTAAGCTGGAGAGTGAGACCAATCAGGAGCCAATTGTGAGATCCTGTGAAACAACCAAGCTCGACATGGAAAAAGAAACATTTGTAAATCAGAGGAGACCAAAAGGGCAGAAAGGAAATTGGTCAAGCGATGGGAAGAACTTTGCTTCTCGGGGTGCTTATCCCCCTGAACTTCTGAACTCGCGGTCAAAACAATGGCAGTGTTCTGTCTGTTGGAGAATATGCAGAGATAAATGGGAATTCACTACACATTACAGAATCCACACAGGGGAGAAGCCATTCAGGTGCATGGAGTGTGGAAAGGCCTTCAGTCAGAGTGGCCAGCTTTCTTCACACCAGAGAATACACACAGGGGAGAAACCATATAAATGCGTGGAGTGTGGCAAGAGCTTCTCTCATAGCAGTGTTTTGCGTTCACATCAAAGAACTCACACGGGGGAGAAACCATATGTTTGCGTGGAGTGTGGTAAGAGCTTCAGTCAGAGTTCAAACTTACGGTCCCATATAAAAACTCATACAGAGGAGAAACCATATAAATGCATGTATTGTGGAAAGAACTTCAACCAGAGTTCGCATCTTCATTCGCATGAGATAACCCACACAAACGAAAAACCAAAAAAATGCTTAGAATGTGGAAAGAGTTTCTCTCATAGCCAGTCGTTACGGTCACATGTGAAAACCCACACAGGGGAGAAACCATATAGTTGTATGGAGTGTGGTAAGAGCTTCAGCTGGAGCGGACATCTGCTTTCACATCAACGAATCCACACTGGGGAGAAACCATATCAGTGTATGGAGTGTGGGAAGAGTTTCAGTCAGAGTGGCAATCTGCGTTCACACCAAAGGACCCACACAGGAGAGAAACCATACAAATGCATAGAATGTGGAAAGAGCTTCTGTCAGAGCGCACATCTGCACACCCACCAAAAAACTCACACAGGAGAGAAATCATATAAATGTACTGAATGTGGAAAGAGCTTCAGGGAGAGTGGGCATCTCAATTTACACCTAAGAACCCACACAGGGGAAAAAGCCTATCAGTGCATGGAATGTGGGAAAAGATTCAGTCAGAGTTCACATCGACGTACTCATCAGAAAACCCATATGAGGGACAAACCAAGAACATGCCTGTCGTCTTCATGTTTATGAGTTACTATTATTATTATTTATACCCCGCTTTTATCTCTCCCGAAGGAGACATCAAAGAATTCACACAGAGAACAACTACAGTAGAATCTTGCTTATCCGACCTTCCACCTTATCTGATGCTCTTATCCAGCACCCCCCCCCCCTTTTCCTCCAGCATCGTGAAATTCTGAGAGACAACATACTAATGAAATTCACACATTAAACACTTGAGGTACATAAATTCATCATTAGGAATACACTGACTTATATAACATGCTAATATCAGAGTGATTACTCCCACAAGTAATATTTTTAACAGTGTGGATTGGGTAACTTGGGATCTCATCACACTAGAGAATAAATACACTATAAATCCAGTTGCTGCCTCCCTCAGAATTATGGGGTTTGTAGTTTAGGGAGGAGCCTTTAACAGCCTCACTAAACTACAAACCCCAGAATTCCGCAGGAGGCAGAAACCAGATTTAAAGTGGATTCATTCCCTAGTGTGATGAAGTAGTGTGATGAAGTAGTAATTCTCTAGTGTGATGCAGTTTGAACTGTGTTGTGTAGATCCTGTTCAGGAGATACGCCAATCCCAAGCCTGGCGCAGACACTCCAGGGGTGACTTTCCTTGGAAATTATTTTTGCTATAGGACAAATGTGTTTAGCTCTATCCCATTTTTAATTTACATTGATGCAGCATTCAGAGCCAATGAATGCACAAACTCCTCTTTGAGAGGGTAAGACTATGTCTAGTGCTATGTGATTCTGTAATAAAAGTAGTCTTAAGTTGTTTAGTTTCTTGAGAAGTTCCAGAAATAGGTCTGTAGCTGATTGCTAGTTTGTCCGGCAACCTCTGCAAGTGAACCACCTCCTCCTTGGGACTTCTATCCCTGCAAATCTTCTCCCAGAGAGACCTTCCTTCTAATTTTTTGTGACTGAGTTCTGCTTAAGGTATTGTACGAGGGTTATCTGGAAAGTAAGCTTAAATTATTATTTTTTAAATACAAAGAATGAATATATTTTAATAGAACTTAAATGGATTGTGGAATAAGTATTACATTACTATTCCGCATAATCAACGGTGGGACGAGTTTTTAGTGGTTGTATCATAGAAGTTTCCCTCTGCCTTTTTCAGCCAGTTAGTCACTTCTATTTTCACCTCGTTGTCGTTGGAAGAGTGTTTTCCACCCAGGTGTTCCTTCAATTTAGTGAACAGATGGGTGTGAGATAGGGGCTGTGAGAGGGCTGGCTTATAACATCCCAACTAAATGAAGTCAACAACTCTTGTGTTGCATGAGTGGTATGTGGATGCACATTATCATGAAGGAAACAGACTCCCACCATCAGCATCCCACAACATTTGTTTTGGATGGCTCTGCGAAATTTCTTCGTGGTCTCATAATATATTCCGTACCCAATTTGTCACATGCTGTCTGGACATTACGTCCTTTCCATAAATTTAAATGTTTTAGCATTTAGATAGTTTATTACAGTGTCAACTTTGCACTTGGAGGGAAACAGAATGAGGATGCTCATCTCTAACCTTCACCACAATGCCAGTTGATGAACTACTGACGACTGACACTGCTCATTCACTTCCATTGCCTTCTCGCTTCACAGCAGTGATACCAACTTTCCCTGTGAGAGCTAAGTGACTTGTAACCGTACTTTCTGGATATTCCTTGTACAGTGTGAACTTCGCACTTGGAGGGAAATAGAATGAGGACGCTCATCTCTAACCTTCACCACAACGCCAGTTGATGAACTACTGATGACAGGCACTGCTCATTCACTTCCATTGGCTTCTCGCTTCACAGCAGTGATACCAACTTTCCCTGTGAGAGCTAAGTGACTTGTAACCTTACTTTCTGGATATTCCTTGTACAGTGTGAACTTCGCACTTGGAGGGAAACAGAATGAGAATGCTCATCTCTAACCTTTACCACAACGCCAGTTGATGAACTACTGATGACTGGCACTGCTCATTCACTTCCACTGGCTTCTCCCACACAGCAGTGACACCAACTTTCCCTGTGAGAGCTAAGTGACTTGTAACCTTACTTTCTGGATATTCCTTGTACAGCATGAACTTCACTCTTGGAGGGAAACAGAATGAGGACGCTCATCTCTTACCTTCACCACAATGCCAGTCGATGAGCTACTGACGACTGGCACTGCTCATTCACTTCCATTGGCTTCTCGCTACACAGCAGTGATACCAACTTTCTCTCTGTCAGCTACGTGCCTTATAACCTTACTTTCCAGATATTCCTCATACAGTGCAAACTTTGTACTTGTGGGGGGAGGGGACAGAATGAGGATGCTCATCTCTAACCTTCACCACAACGCCAGTCGATGAGCTACTGACGGGTGGCACTGCTCGTTCACTTCTGCTGGCTTCCCACTACTTGGCAGTGATACCAACTTTCCCTGCGAGAGCTACGTGCCTTGTTAGCTTACTTTCCTGATAGGCCTCATACATCGTGAACTTTGCACTTGGAGGGAAACGGAATGAGGACACTCATCTCTAATCTTCACCACAACGCCAGTCAATGAGCTGCTGACGGGTGGCACTGCTCGTTTGCTTCCGCTGGCTTCCCACTACTTGGCAGTGATACCAACTTTCCCTGCAAGAGCCATGTGCCTTGTAAACTTACTTTCCTGATAGGCCTGATACAGCGTGAACTTTGCACTTGGAAGGAAACGGAATGAGGACACTCATCTCTAACCTTCACCACCACACCAGTTGAGGAGCTGCTGACGAGTGGCATTGTTCGTTTGCTTCCGCTGGCTTCCCGCTACACGGCAGTGATACCAACTTCTGCCGAGAAAATTCTCCATGAGAGCTACGTGCCTTGTAAACTTATTTTCCGGATAAGTGTCGTGATATTATTAAATGTGTCGTGATATTATTGTTATTGTTTTGCTTTGTTATGAGTTATTTATTGTTGTATTGTTGTTGTTGTGTTTTATTGATGTATTTGGGCTCGGCCTCTTGTAAGCCGCACCGAGTCCTGCGGGAGATGGTAGCGGGGTATAAATAAAGGTTTATTATTATTATTATTATTATTATTATTATTACCCTGGTATATTATTAATAGCCACATGACTTGCAGAGATGTGTGGATGGTGACCCGATGGGGGAAGCCATGCTCAATAGCTGCCAGATCATTTTATCAAAATATGATAATTATAGGTTATTTTCCACATACTCGGTATGTTTCATATATGAAAGGGGCATTTCCATTCTCTCCTGAAACAATCCAGAGGCTGGTCCTTGCCCAAAGATAAGAGGTGAGACAGTTAAGTTATATGTGAACAAGCATCCCATGATTTCTATATTGCTGTTAAAACTTTGTTTAAATGACATTGTGATATTAAAACGTCATCTGAATGTTAAAGGGACTCCAGAGGTGCAGTTTGTACTTGACTTGAATCAGAGTTATGATTAGGCTGGAGACATAACACATAAGTGGAGAGGCTATCAAAATACAAGTTATACCACAAATACTATCACAAAGATCTGGATAATAACTATAAGACATACTAACAATATATATGTCACAAGCAATCAGTTCAAATACTGTTTGTTCAGGTTTTACAAAGCAAACATCCCCTCTGGTGCTTACTCCTGGGATTTATTTATTTGTCGTGTCAGGGCAACCAGTCAATTGTATTACATTTCTAACAGAACAAAACAAACAGACAAAATACAAAATTTGCGAGTTTGGTAGTTGATTAAATGTCCTTTGACCAGTATCTGGCCACTTGGAGTGCCTCTGGTGTTGCTGCAAGAAGGTCCTCCCTTGTGCATGTGGCAGGGCTCAGGTTGCATTGCAGCAGGTGGTCAGTGGTTTGCTCTTCTCCACACTCGCATGTCATGGATTCCACTCTGTGGCCCCATTTCTTGAGGTTGGCTCTGCATCTCGTGGTGCCAGAGCGCAGTCTGTTCAGCGCCTTCCAAGTCGCCCAGTCTTCTGTGTGCCCAGGGGGGAGTCTCTCATTTGGTATCAGCCATTGGTTGAGGTTCTGGGTTTGAGCCTGCCACTTTTGGACTCTCACTTGCTGAGGTGTTCCAGCGAGTGTCTCTGTAGATCTTAGAAAACTATTTCTAGATTTAAGTCGTTGACATGCTGGCTGATACCCAAACAGGGGATGAGCTGGAGATGTCTCTGCCTTGGTCCTTTCACTATTGGCTGCTACTTCCCGGCGGATGTCAGGTGCAATGTAATTTCTCCAGTGGTGTAGGGCGCAGACACCCCGTAATAATGCAACATGTCTCATTAAGAGCCACATCCACTGTTTTAGCGTGGTGAGATGTGTTCCACACTGGGCATGTGTACTCAGCAGCAGAGTAGCATAGCACAAGGGCAGATGTCTTCACTGTGTCTGGTTGTGATCCCCAGGTTGTGCCAGTCAGCTTTCCTATGATATTGTTTCTAGCACTTTTGCTTGATGTTCAGGCAGTGCTTCTTGTAGGTTAGAGCACGGTCCAGAGTGACTCCCAGGTGTGCTGCGCTGCTCCAGTGAGATTCCTTCCCAGGTAATAATCCTCAGAGCTCGGGATGCTTGTCTGTTCTTGAGATGAAAAGCACATGTCTGTGTTTTAGATGGATTAGGGATCAGCTGGCTTTCCCTGTAATAGGCAGTGAGAGCACCTAGAGCTTCGGAGAGCTTCTGTTCTACCATCTCAAAGCTCCCTGCTTGAGCAGTGATGGCATGATCATCAGCATAGATGAAGCTCTCTGTCCCTTCTGGCAGTGGCTGGTCATTTGTGTAACTCCTGGGATGAAATTATTAACTTGGATTCCTCTTTAAGTTGCCCAAGATCACTATTATCAGTAGGATAATTGAAAGGATGTCACATTGAGGAGGAAGGGACGGGCTCCTTTTTCTCCTGCTCTGGAGACTAAGGACACAGAGCAATGGATTCCAATTGCAGGAAAAGCGATCCCACCCGAACATTAGCAAGAACTTCCTGATGGTAAGAGCTGTCCGGCAGTGAAATATGCTGCCCCTCACTGCCTTGTGTGGTGGAATGAAAATCACGCATAGTTCACGTCTTTACACATCCACACACTGTCTTGCTAGAGAAAAGATATGCCATGCATGACCAGT